TCAGCAGTAGTTTGGTACAGGTACTGACGTGGTGCGGCGGACAGGTCCGCGGCGGGCAGGCCGCCTCGTCGTCCCCGTCGTGGCAGTCGCGCCGCCCGTCGCAGCGCGCCGCCGCCGCCACGCAGCGCGCCGCCACGCGCGCCGTGGCGTTGCCGCGGCACTTCCACTGCGACGCCAGGCACGTGAACTGCACAAGGACACAGCTACAGTACCGCTCCGCGCACGACGCGCGCGGGGCCGGGCGGCGCACCTTGTCGCAGTCGCGCTCGTCGGAGCCGTCGGCGCAGTGCGGCGTGCCGTCGCAGATGTGCGACGGGTGCACGCAGCGCCCGCTGTCGCACTGGAACTGGCCGGGCTCGCAGCGGAAGGGCGGGCACGCCGCGGGCTCGTCGCTGCCGTCGCCGCAGTCGTCCTGCGTGTCGCAGCGCCACCAGAACGGGATGCACTTGAGCGCGGCGGCGCAGACGAAGTGCGCCGACGTGCAGTTGGGCGCGCACGAGCGCCCGTCCGCCGCCAGCACCCAGTGCTCGGGGCAGGCGCAGCGCGCGCCCGCGCCCGCGCCTTCCTCCGCCGGCGTCAGCAGGCATAGGCCCGAGCAGTTCAGCGCCGCGCACCGCGCCGACAGCTCTGTATGGCGAACGTCAATATTCCTTTATTATGCTTTCTAAGATTATCGAGCCACCGCTGACAGACGGTGAAGGGAAATATTGTAAGGAAACCTGGGATTATGATTTATAATTATAAGTTTGTAATCGCAAAACCCGCATTGAGCAAGCATGGTGATTAACTCGTCGAGTACCGGTTTTGTAGACACAATTATAGAACAATAGGTTGCGGTCACCGGTGACCGCTTGGTGTTTGACAGTTTAATGCTCAAACCGTCTCAAATGATGACACCTTCGAAGAGTATAACCACATAGTAAATAATATCATCGTGTTGGAATTACACGTTTGGATGGGCGTCATAAATAATCAATTGGTAAGGTTGACTGTTAGAGAATGCCACTAGGCATTAAGTCCGCCATTGTATACAAGAAGTGTGAATAAAATAAATAAAATAAATAAATAATTAATTAATTGGACCCAACGATTTCAATTGGACGATTTACGACGAATTTTAAAGGAATGGACTAGGGTCATTGCTTAAAATTGCGGATTTGGTTGGTTGTCCAGATATATATTTAGTTCAAGAGTGTTTCTTTACATTTTCCTTATCATCAAGTTATTATTTTTTAAACTAAATTCCGGTTTACTTTATTATTCTTTGATGTTTTTGGAGTTAGTCCGGGATTCATGACTAAAACCAAAAATGTTAAATATCTCAGTAACTAGCCACTTTCGGACCAGCGAGCTCAGGGTTCATTTTGTAGGAAATTTGTTGTATTATCAATCCCCAAGAGAAATAAATTATTCTTCTTATTTCATGTCCACCTTCCTCTGTCGGACTTCGTCTGATAGTTCTATCGCCTAAAATGCTTATAAAATGCGCACCTTCCATTGCCACACCTATCTCCATTCTGTTTTCTAAATCGTTGACTCAAGGTTTAGTCCCCAAAATATGGAAAGCCGCCTTTATTACGCCGGTTTATAAGAAGGGGTCAAGAACCGAGATCACTAATTATAGGCCTATCTCCAAATTGTGCATTATAGCTAAAATATTTGAGAGGATTGTCTACAAACAGATATACTCCGCCTTGGCCAATTCATTTAACTCCTTTCAACACGGATTTTTGGGAGGGAGGTCTACTATTTCCAACCTAATTCTTTTTAATGACTCTGTCACGGATGCTATTGATAAAGGTAAGCAGGTTGATGTGGTTTACACAGATTACAGTAAGGCGTTTGACCGGATTGACCACGATATCCTGTTACAGACCTCTTGAGGTGGTTCGCTTCATACATCGACAATAGGTCACAAGCAGTAGTACTCAATAACTACATTTCTAGCTGGGTAAATGTACCCAGCGGAGTACCTCAGGGATCGTTGCTCGGTCCTTTTCTATTCGTGATTTATGTAAACGACATCAACAAGTGCTTTCATACATCCAAACTTTTATGTTTTGCTGATGACATGAAACTGTCAGCTACTATCTCAACTCCTGACGATGGTCTGGCACTCCAGGCGGATTTGCATCGGCTTAAAGAGTATAGTCGGATAAATAAACTGGATCTCAACCCATCTAAGTATTCTGTAGTCACTTACACTAGAAAGCGCACTGTCCATGTCACTAATTATACTTTAGTGGGTCAGCCCTTACCAAGATGCACTACTATCCGTGACTTAGGCGTCCATCAAGACAGCAAATTGGTTTTCGATACACATATTGATGCAATCGTCAAAAAAGCCTCTAAACTGCTTGGATTTATAATGCGTCTTTCAAAAAATTTCACCGATGCAAAGACCCTTAAAATACTATATTGCACTTAT